TACAATTTTTCGCCTTTTTATTCCGTTGACAAACTTGTAAACAGAATGGCAATCACCACAAACACGAAGGTTCCGGAAAACTTTAATAGTTGAACCACTTGGAATATTTGTTAATCCAAATGCAAGGGCAAGTTTTTCACTATGGTTCCAAAGATTATGCTCCCTTTGCTCCTCATCTGTATCTTGCAATGCATAGCTAGTGTCAGGAACATAACCTGCTTCTTTAATCAACTTTTTAAGCTCTCCTAACTTTGCATAAATTTCATTGGTCTGAGGATGCGTTTGGTCTCCCATTCTAAACCAAACCACCTCATTCTTCAACTTCACCCAACTGAACGCAGGTTTCTTCTTTATGTTATATGACCCCATTTGTCTCCTTACATCCTCCACGGCACCCCATTTTCCAGTAGTTGCACAAACATTAGAATATAGAACATAAGCTGAGTCATCTGACGGGTCCAATTTAATAAGATGTTCTGCAGCTTTCCTCCCAAGTTCCAAGTTGCCATGGGTTTTACATGAAGCCAACAAGGTCCGGCACACAAGGGCATCTGGCGGGACGGGCATTTCACTGATAAAGGTTTTAGCCTCAATAAGCCTTCCTGATCACGAAGATCAATTATACGTACACAATGCTCTATAGCTGGCTGAACATTAAATTCTTTGCTCATTGCAACATAATATGTCAGACCCTCATCCACTAGCCCCTCATGACTGCAAGCAGAAAGAAGAGAGACAAAGGTCACATGGTCAGGCTTCACCCCCATTTCTAGCATTTCATTGAAAGTTTCTCTCGCCTTCTGGAAATAGCCATGTCTGGCAAAAGCTGATATTAGTATGTTCCATGATAATCGTGATCTATTTAGTGGTTGGGGAAGCATTCTTAACACGTCATCCATTTCCCCACATTTTCCATACATGTCCATTGCAGCATTCATAACAAAAGGATCCAGTCAAATCCAAGCTTGACTGCTAAACAGTGGAGTTGTTGCCCCTCCTCCAAAGCAGCCAGCTTAGCTACAGCAGCAAGACCTTCAGAGAAGCTGAATTGATCTAAATCTATACCAGCATTTCTCATCTTTGCAATACATTTTAAGACCTCTTCCTCGAGACCATGATGAGCATTTGCAGCAATAATTGCATTCCATGAGATTGTGTTCTTATCAAGCAATCTGTCAAAGATACATTCACTTGATAGGAGATCACCACACTTGGCATACATTGTGATAAGGGAATTTTGCACATATCTATTTGATTCAAATCCAGTTGAGACAATATATGCATGAATGGGCATTCCATGTTTCAATAAATCATCAGGGTCAAACAAGCACCCAAAACATTTGACATTGTAATGTAGTCTGCTTTTATACCTTCTTCCCTCATTAACTGAAATGCTTTTACTGCTTCACCTGGTTCTTCATTCTCGGCATGGCCACCAATGTGAGCATTCCAAGTTACTTGATTTCGCTTGGCATCATCTGGCAAACCTTTTTTGCTTCAACCATCATACCAGACTTCGCATACATTGTGATAGATGCATATCCAACTACCAAGCTTCCATGAAGACCTGTAAGTCACATAGTTTGAGCAAGCTGCCAATGTACTCATAAAAGTCGCATATTTAATTGCTTTTTTCATTTGAAGCAATTCAGTCAATAATTTTATGGCATCCAGTCTCCTCCCATCTCTAACATAGCATGTCATCATGGAATTCCAAAATTAAATCCCTCTCCGGCATTTCCTTGAAGACAAATTCTGCATCATCCGAACTTCCAGCCTCAGAATACATACCTAAAAGCGAATTGCATATACAAACATTTGAATCTGGTCCCAACCTAAAACTAGACTGTGGATTCCTTTTCCCCATTTTAAATTATGTACAGAACAGCAGACCGAAAGCAAAGTTCCAAGAGTAGTAGAATTTATTTTCTTATGAACATGACGCATCAAATGAAAAAAACTCATTGATTCTTTAAAAAGTCCATTCTGAACATGTGCAGAAATTATTGAGTTCCAGGAGATTATGTCGCGTTCGACAATGAGACTGTTAAACATAACAGGCCTCTTTTAACTCCCTAAACTAGCAAGCATATTTATAAGAGAGTTAGCAACAGATACTTTAGTTTCAAAACCAGTTTTACAACATCACCAAGATCTTTAAGACCCAAATCCCAATAATTTGTCTCAAGAAACGAACAAGCGGTTATCACGGTAGCAAATGTGTTCTCAGTACAACTGATCTCCTCTTTCCTCATTTCCCTATATAAACGCAAAACATTCTCAAAATCCCCATTATCTAAATACCCAACATCAATGCCAAGAAACTACATTCCTCTCAGGCATCTCCTCTAAGATCCTCTGCGCATCAAAAACTCTCCTGTAAGCTCCATAAAAATGCAATAACACGTTCCCACAAAGACATCATACAACAAACCAACTTTGACAGCACGTCCTATCGCAAGCAGTTATCAAGCTCGAAACATGAAACTCAGAAGGCATAACACTAGAATTCTGCATTTCACGAAACAAACACCACATCCCAAATAACCAACGCGAACTAGACCGACATCATAGTGTTCCAAGAAGCAGCATTTCTAACAGGCAAATGATCGAAAAGGTAACGAGCGCAATCAACAAGGTCAAACTTCGTGCACATGCTAATCAAGTATTTGTCAGAACAGGCTTAAAGGACTAAGCCTTTGATGCAAAGTGCATGTAAGGCTTTGCCTGTGGTTTCGTGGGTGATTTGAGAAACCCTTATGATAGAAGCAGAGATTTCGGGGTTAGGGTGGTCTGAGGGAAATGGTGTTAGTGCCCGGATTCTTCTTCTTCTTCTTCTGGGCATCGAATTGAGGAAATGGAATGAAGTTTGTTCTAGGTTTCGGGAAGAAAGGTTGTAAAAAGCAGCGGGGAGTAATGGGGTTTGGATTTGAGAAGGTTTCTGCAGAAAATAGCCAGTTCTGGCTACTGGTATTGTTAAGGAACGAAACCGATAAACAAAGTCAATTCACGGGATTGGACTTGGAGGCTAAAGGCTTTTGAACTACAATATTTATTATGGCTTAATTCACAATTTCACTATAAAGTATACACTATCTCCCTTTGCGTCTTTTATTTCATATAGATTAGGAATAAAAATAATTTAAATTAATTATATTCATCACTTATATTTCTGTTTTGTTTAATATATTTTATTAATTTCAGAAAATAATCTATGATTACTTTTATTTTGTTTAATGCATGATTCATCACTTATTTTATATTTTGTTCAATTATTTTACTGATTTCAAAAATAATATATAATTATATTTTTTTTATTTAATTAATATATTAGTCTTTTGTTTTTATTTAATTAAGATTTAATCATCAAAGGTTAATTATAACAGATTAGGTGACTTGGTATTTTGGTATAATCACACATTTGATCCTATTATTTATATTGTTTCAATTTATGATGTGTGTCATCATACGGTTTGGAGGACTAAATTTATTTTAATTTAGTACATTTATTTTACCAATCAGAAGGTGACATGCGTATCCAATCATTGAGCCAATACTAGCGTTTGGTCTAAAATACAATATGATGTATATTTTGTATCTTAATGTATAAACACTTAATTTTAATTCATAATATTATATATATTAACTTAAGAAATACTTTTATATTAACCTATTAAATATATTTTATTATTAACTTAATAAAATATTTTATTTTGATTTTAATTTAAAAATATCATTACTTAATTATAATAAATATATTTTATAATTTTAATTTCAAAATATACATTTTATCTTAATTTACCAAATATATTATATCATTCTTTAAATATTAAATATACTTTATTGTCATCTTAACTTCAAATATTTAACATAAAAATATATATTTTTAAATAAAATAAAATATATTTTTTAAATAAAAATAAAAATAAAATATTTTTTAAATTATGTTAATAAAATATCTTTAATAAGTTAAATAAAAATTTTTTAAAATTAATATATATAAAATATTATGAATCTAATTTAAGTATTTATATACTTATATACAAAATATATACATCATATTATCTATTTAGACCAAGCATTGGTCTTGGCTCAATGGTGAGTACATATTTGATTTTAAAGTTACCCTATTCAAACCCATTGTCTCTAATTTGATTTGCTTTCTTTTCTTTCATTAGTGAAAAATTTTAGTTCTCCAGGGCATAATTAGATTGGAGGATTTTTTTGTTTAATTACAAAAGTACGATTAAATTGAGAGAATATGTAATAATATGGGCTAAATATTAATTATACCAAAATATTTACTGTCAAGTCACTTAATATGTCTACTGTTAACGGCAATAACTGTGATGACCATATATTGATCGATCATGTAATTAATTCAATAATTTATTAACAATTGATTAATGAATTTTATAATACGTCAATTTATTAGTTCTTATTCTATATATGTCGTCTTAATTTAGTCAGACAAATCCCCAGCTTCAAAACTAGAAGACTTTTCCTTGAAAAAATATACGACACCAGATTTTCTCACTCTGGATCCTAGAAAGTACACAATTTAGACCATGTTCCTTGGCTTTAATTTTAGATTGCCATTAACCTAATTCCAATAATAAAAATTAATACATCTATCGTAGCCCCAAATTTTAGACAAAACAGTAACCATATTTTTCATGTTAGAAAATCACTTCTTGTTCTTCTAACAGTTGCATGCAATGCACTGTACAATCAGGATGACTTCTTGATCCTTATTATATATGGAATAGAAAAAGACTTCTTCCTGCATTTCCCCCCCAAGTAAACTGTTTGCTCTGATTGGATTCAAACATAAGCATGCACGATCCAGGAAGAAACCTACTTCATTAGAATCTTCGGTTCACTATCTACAACCGATATAAATAAGATGAAAATAAATGAGAGATTCGCGTTCCATAAGTGTTCCTGATTAAGTTACAGAGTAGTCTGAAAGATGGTGAGACAACCATATATAAGAAAGGACATGGACTCCTGATGAAGACCAAAAGCTGGTTGCTTATATCGTGAGATATGGCATTTGGAATTGGAACGAGATGCCAAATTTGCTGGTATGATCACTTAATGACACATGTAATGAAAACTTGAATTTCGTCAAATTTTTCTTATTAGCATTTGGTCTTGATTTGTAGGGTTGCGAAGATCATGGAAGAGTTGCAGGCTTCGTTGGATGAATTACTTGAGGCCTAATATAGCGTGGAAACTTCACCAGGGAAGAAGAGAAACCATAATCCAACTTCAAAAGGAGCTCGGAAATCGATGGTCAGCAATAGCAGCAAGGCTTCCACACGAACTGACAACGATATAAAAAACTGCTGGAACACTCGCTTGAAGAAAAGGGTAATATTGGAGAATACAAGTCGGCATCAAAACCCATTCCAGTGTTGAGGAGAATTCGTGTGATTCTGACTCCTCAAGCTTGCTTAACATTCCTACAATGCTGACTTCCCAGAACTGGCTATTGTTTCATCTGAGAGATACTGAGTTTTATGGAGCATCCATTAATAATAGCACAAGGTTTCGATTGTGAAGCAGTGTCACCAAATTCTCAGTTGTGGCACACCCACCATGAACACTACTATGATCCGGTGGATGATTTCTGGGGCAATCCATTATTTTAGTACTGCATAAACCAAATATACTTATTTTGTTTGGAGTTTTGATTTCAGCTATGTCTTTGTCAGTTATGGATCCTTACTAGTGTTTATCAGTTCATAATAATACTTTCCTATATTGAAATGGATAGTTTTGTTTATCTCAATTTTCTAGAATGTGAAAATAGTATTTTTTTTTTTCCACAGAAAAATAATATTTTATTAGAATAAACAATTTGAGTAAAAAGCTAAAATTTGCAAAATATAATCCAAATAGTGCGCAAGAACTAACAGCACTCCGCTAACACAACATGAAATAACCTACAACCCAGGCTGCAAAAAGGACACCTAATGAACCAAGCGATAACTTACCTCCATCCCATGATTGTATGCTTCTTCCACCTAGCTTTAATTCAATCAAAGTAATTTACCATATCTTTGCAATGACGAGTTTAATACCTCCATCCCATGGTATTTTTCTTGCAAGTTTTTGTCTTATTAATTGATTGTGGTTGAACTTAACTGATTTATTTGCCTATTTGTTGTTAGTGATGTTTTAGATTAATGTGCTAAGGTCATGAGTTCAAGGTCTTTTGTATTTTTTTGTTTTTATTCCGGAGTGTAAATCGGTGTTTGATTTTGTGTTTATGCTTCATTGAAGCATCGATAGACAATCTTTTGACATTTGATCAATTTTTTTTATATTAATAAAATTATATCTGATGTATGAAAAAAAATTGATAACAAAATATAATCGCGTTGAGTGAAATCTTTCATTAAATATATCACAATTAGTATTTTAAAATACTTGTTCTTTTAAGCACAAATCAAGCTAGTGCAGTGGTAAATAAATTATTATTGTTCTTTGAGATTTCGGACTCAACACCAGAAACATCATAGATGTGAATGCTCATATCAAATGGTTATGAGTTATTTTTAATAGATATTATTTTATACCAAACTCTAATATAAAAAAAATAGTGTAGGGACACGAAGCATATTTTATTCTACCCCTAAAACTAATAATTTAAAAAGTTTTTGTCTTTTAATTCAATATTTATATTTTTAGGGTCATATTTATTATGAATGAGCAAAATTCAACTTGAATAAATTATAGAATAAAAATTAAATATTTTATAACTAGTAAATAACATACATTCCTTATTTTGGAGCGAAAAATCAAACTTGGTACTATGAAACGTAAGATGGCGGCGCAACTATGGCGGCTTGCATTTAACAACATAATTAAAATAATATAACTATTTTCTAGAAGGAAACATAAAAAAGATTATAAAAAAGATGGCATATTGAAACCTATCATTTTCTCAAGAAAAATAATAATACAAGGGGCTCGCCTGAAGAATTTAGCCTCATTATAGTGTCCAAGAAATATATATATATATATGCGTACTTATTATGTTTGAAATAATAAAATGAAGAATTTAGTAAATAGTCTAAATTTTTATAAATCAAACATATACATAATTACATATAATTTTTTGTATTCAATCATTTCTTTTATATAAATTCTAAATATAATTCTAAGGAGGGGAAAAGAGACTTTAAGGGAAATAAGAAAAGTGATTGTAATGGATCTAGAACCCATGACCTAAGAAAACATGAGGGGCATGAACTAAGCTACCTCATTGGTTAAATGGATAGTTGTTATTCCTAGAGGTCTCATGTTCGAGCACCAGAGATTATAAAAGTGTTTGAACTTTCATTGTCAAATGATTAAGAATCTTTAGAACATATATTATTTATAATCCCCTTAGATTAATAAAATATATAAAGGAACATAATTTTTTTAAGATAATAGATAAGATATTTATATATAAATTAAGATAATTTTCACCAATAATATTTAATGATTTGTAAGATATTTGAATTATGGGAACGAATTTAAAGTTTAGTAATTATAATATAAATTTTAAATGTTTGTTTGTTTGGCCCTGGGCACTTGTTCAATTTCATAAACTCTGTTTTATTTCAGAGAATCAAAATTCGTTAATGATGTTTTAATCCTCATTCTAGATCGGGCTGAAGGAAGATACTTTATTTTTGTTAATTTGTTGATCAAATTTTCTCTTCAGTTTCGTTAATGGTGCTGTTTATTTTTTTTTCCCCACTTCTAGATTCTAGAAAGTACACAGTTTAGACCATGTCAGCCTTGGTCGTATTAATTAAAATAATCAGAAAACTAATCATTAAATTAAATCGATCGTGGCCCCCAATTTTAGACAAACACCAACAAGTAAGAAAAGCATTTTCGTGTTTTTTTCCCGGCAGTTGCATGCAATCTACGCTTTAACTTGCCTCATGGCTTTTCTGCATACAAAAATGTAAACTTATCGATGCGCATTATCATTTATGGAATATAAATGGACTTGGGGATCCATTCGTCTACCCAAAAGGCTATTTAAACAATTATAAAATTAGCTATTATGGGTCAATGTGTTGTTATAATATTCTATTATTATGTTAGTGTTGATTATGTTTATGTTTCATTACCAATGAAATTTTTGTCTAAATCTTTTTTTAGTTATTTGTTAAAATTATATATATATATATATATATATATATATATTCTTATTTTATTATTAGATGATACATTTTTAAAAAATATTATTTTTTTAAATCATTGAAATACAAATATTACTGATTTAAAACTAGCTATATTTATATGTAGGACGATATGTATCAATGATACATAGATAAATAGATATGGATCAAACTTTTTCTCGACTTGGAAAAGTGACGTTCTGCATGGAATTGATCCCTTGTAATGGGACTGTTTGGCTAGCAAAAGATGTTGCTCTTAGAAGTTAACTCTTTAAAGTCTGGTGGTGAGTCTTCTTGGTTCTGGCCGGTACGCTTCAAGGAGTATGAGTTTTTATTGTTTTGTCCAGATGTGCTGGTTATAGGCGCGGCAGCTTGACTGTTATTCGACAAGGGATAGCTCCGTGATGGCCATTGGTTTTGCGTTAGAGATGTATTTGGTATTGTATGATACATGTTGCTGCAATCTCTTGTATTGTTGTTTTTTTTTTTTGTGTTCCATCCCGATAATGTAGTACTATTTTCCTCTACTTAGGTCTAGAGAGGTTTTTTTGTATATTAATTTTAGATTGACTCTTTACTTATTTCTTAGAATGAACAATAAAAATATATTTTATCAATTACAGCCCCCAATTTTAGACTGACAATGACAATAATTAAATATTTGTTAGATAGATATTTTTTAGCAGTTGACTGACTCTTTACTTAATTCCCATAAGATGCAGAATCCCTATGCCTCCGTGTAATATGTTTGTTTTCTACAAATATTTTCTGATGCTTTCTGCATGTAAAAATACAAAACAGACTTATCTCATGCCATTTGTGGAATAAGAAAAAGCCTGTATTCGTTAAAAAATTTATTATTCGATTCCGATTGACTCATTATTCGTTAAGGTTTAAAAATTATCTCCTTTGTTCCTAATACGGAAGACGTCGAGGTCCCTGAGGAAGCTGTACTACCCAATAGTTCAAGCTATCCTAGGATTTAACTACTCCACCTACTACAGTACCACGAGAGACTCCAAAGACTCCGATCAAGGGATTAAAATAACAAAATTAAAGTAAAAAACAACTTCACTAAACTAGAAGAATTGGAAAAATATGACAGGTTTTTCTCACTACTAGATCCTAGAAACTACGTACACAATGTAGACCGTGTTCCTTGATTTTATTAATTTTAAATTGCCACTTAACCTAATCCCAATAATGAAAAAAATTAAATATTTGATTACATCTATTGTAGCCCCAAATTTTAGACAAAACACTAACAATATTCACATGTTAGAAAAAACACTTTCTTGTTTTTTCCTAACAGATGCATGCAAATGCAATGTTCAATCATGGATGACTTCTTGATCCGCATTATAAATGGAATAGAAAAAGACTTGTTCATCCATTTTTTCCAAGTAAACTGTTTACTATGAATGGGATTCAAACATAAGTCACGATCTAGGAAGAAACCTACTAATTCTTTAATTACTAACCCGCGTCTTTGACAGGTTGATTAATTGGATGATCCGAATCTTCGGATCACTATACACAACCGATAAATATAGATGGAATTGATTGAGAGATTCACATTCCACAAGTGGTTCAAGTATTAAGTTCCAGAGAAGTCTGAAAGATGGTGAGACAACCATATCTAAAGAAAGGAACGTGGTCTCGTGATGAAGACCAGAAGCTGATTGCTTATATCATGAGATATGGAATTTGGAATTGGAATGAGATGCCCAAATTTGCTGGTATGATCACTTTAATGAACAATATGTGATGAAAAACTTGAATTTCGTCAAGATTTTCTTATTACCAGTTGGTTTTGATTTATAGGGTTGCAAAGGTCGGGAAGAGTTGCAGGCTTCGTTGGATGAATTACTTGAGGCCTAATATAAGGCATGGAAACTTCACCAGGGAAGAAGAAGAAACCATAATCAAACTTCAAAAGGAGCTCGGAAATCGATGGTCAGCAATAGCAGCAAGGCTTCCGCACAGAACTGACAATGACATAAAAAACTATTGGAACACTTTCCTGAAGAAAAGGGTAATATTGGAGAATAGTAAGTCAGAATCAGCAACCACAGAAACCGATTCCAGTATTGAGGAGAATTCGCCTGATGCTGACTCCTCAAGCTTGCTTAACATTCCTACAATGGCTGATTTCCCAGAACCATGACTTACAGTAACACTTTTCTTCATCTGAAAACGGTTATAGCATGAGTGAAACTTTTGTTTCATCTGAGAACTACTGGGAGATACCGAGTTTATGGAGCAGCCATTAATAGCAGAAGGTTTTGATTGTGAAGCAGTGTCATCAAATTCTCCGTTGTGGCACAGCCACCATGAACACTACTATGATCCTGTGGATGATTTCTGGGCCAGTCCATTATTTTAGTACTGCACAAACCAAGCATCCTTATTTTGTTAACATAGTTATTGGAAAGTTAGTAGTCAACGCGAATTTATAACAAAAATAATAGCTACTTGTTTTGTTATCGACTTCAATACCTATCGCAAAAACTATCACATTTACCCATAAATTTTGGATGTATTAATTGTATTATACGAGAGATAATAACATTAGGTTTAAAATTGACTTAGAAAGATTGTTTGCCATTGTTGAATAAAATTAAAAGCAAGTTGGAGATGTGGTCTAGGAGGAATTTGAGTTATGGGGGCAGGATGCAGTTGATTAAAGCTGTCTTGTCTAGTATATCAAACTTTTGGTGTAGGCAGTTGATCTTGCCTAAGGTGGTGATCCAGAAGGTTGAGCAGCACCGCATGCGTTTCTTCTGGAAGGGCGATGACTTGCCAGCTAGGGGAGCAAGGGTTAATTGGAAGCAGGTTTGTTCTTAGAAATCCGAGGGGGGCTTTGTTGGATCATAAACTTGATCCATTATGGGAGCCTAAACCCAAATCCAAACTAAATTGATGTCATTACTTACATCATTTAATTAAAGATGTCATTGCTTACATCATTTAATTAATGATGTCATTGCTTACATCAATTTAGTTAGGTGAGAGTTAGATATTTGTTGAATTTGTAATGGTTTAAATTAGTTTATTTGTGTGGTGTAGGATTGTTCTTGAGTAGTATAAATACCCCTTCCCATTTTAGTTTTAAGCATCAAGAAAAATTAAGAGCTTCTAAGTGAGTGAAGAAGCAAAGTCTTATAAGAGTGAGTTGTAGTTCTTGTTTTTGAGTGAGAGTACTCTTGTAATATTTGTTTGAGTTTCAATAAAAGTTGTTTGTGTGAGTGTTTTATTTCCAACAAAGTGGCATCAGAGCGAGTTGGAAAGATCGAAGGTCTCGACGAGAGGAATACGACGCCGCCAGAATTTTCTTAATCTGAGTTCTGACGCACCGCCACGCACCGCCGGAAGACTGCTGCCAGAAAATCGAGTTGACTCACCGAGTTGAGCCGATTCAGCCGAGTTGGAGCCCTTGAACGAGGTGTCCAAGTCCCTCCAAAGTTTTTTTTTTCATCGTTCCGGATTCATCCGTGCAATCGGATTTTACAAAATCTCATTATATTGAGAGATATGGCAAATGGTATGCACCATTCCAAGTTCCGACACTCAACAACAACAACTACGACAATTGGAGTATCAAAATGAAGGCACTTCTTGGATCACAAGATGTGTGGGATATCATAGAGAAAGGCTATAATGAGCCTGCGGATGATGATGTTTTTGCTACTCTTACACCAGATCAAAAGACAACTTTGAAGGATTCAAGAAAGAGAGACAAGAAGGCTCTCTACCTCATCTATCAAGCATTAGATGATGATGGTTTTGAAAAGATTTCAAGTGCAAGCTCTAGCAAGGAAGCGTGGGAGAAGCTGCAAACCTCTTACAAAGGATCCGAGCAAGTGAAGAAGGTTCGTCTCCAAACATTAGAGGTGAATTCGAATCCTTAAACATGAAAGCATCTGAGTCTATTTCAGATTATTTCTCAAGAGTAGTAGCTGTTTCTAATCAATTAAAAAGAAATGGTGAAAAGTTAGACGATGTGAGGATAATAGAGAAGATACTCCGTTCGTTGGATCCCAAATTTGAGCACATCGTCGTGACGATTGAAGAAACTAAAGACTTGGAAGAAATGAAGATCGAACAGCTCCAAGGATCATTGCAAGCATACGAAGAGAAGCATAAAAAGAAGCATGAGTTTACTGAGCAACTCCTCAAGCTGCAACTCAAGGATATGCATGAGAGCCAACGCAATGATAGAAACCAACGTGGCCAAGGCAGAGGTAGGGCCATGGACGAGGTGGAAGTCGAGGTCGTGGACGAGGCTGGAATTACAACAATAACAATTCCAACAACAACTATGAGAAAGGAGAAAGCTCAACACGAGGCCGTGGAAGAATTAATCCAAACTCAAAGTATGACAAATCTCAAATTCGATGTTATAATTGTCAAAAATTTGGGCATTATGCTTCAGAATGTAGAGCTCCCAACAACAAAATTGAGGAGAAGGCCAATTACGTGGAGGAAAAGACAGATGGCAAAGAAACTCTTCTTCTAGCACGAAAGGAAACTGATGGTGGCCAAGCAAATTCCTGGTATCTTGACAGTGGTGCAAGCAATCACATGTGTGGAAGGAAAGACATGTTTGTGGAGCTAGACGAGTCAGTAAGTGGAAATGTTTCGTTTGGAGATGATTCCACAATAGCAGTGAAAGGGAGAGGTAACATTCTTATCCGTTTGAAAGATGGGAGACATCAATTTATTTCAAATGTCTACTATGTGCCCAATATGAAAAGTAACATTTTAAGTTTAGGGCAACTGGTAGAGAAAGGTTATGATATTCATATGAATAATTATAATCTTCTATAAAAGATGATAAGAATAACTTCATTGCTAAAGTGCCGATGTCAAAGAATAGAATGTTCTTGATCAACATACAAAATGATGTTGCAAAGTGCCTGAAAGCTTGCTACAAGATGCATCATGGCTTTGGCATCTTCGATTTGGGCATCTCAATTTTGGAGGTCTAGAGCTATTATCTAAGAAGGAGATGGTGAAAGGACTACCTCACATCAACCATCCTGACCAACTCTGTGAAGGGTGTCTAGTCGGGAAACAATTCAGGAAAAGCTTTCCAAAGGAGTCAGAGACAAGAGCTAAGAAGTCACTGAGCTCATCCATACCGATGTGTGTGGACCGATCAAGCCAAGTTCTCTCGGTAACAATAACTATTTTCTTCTCTTCATTGATGATTTTTCAAGAAAAACCTGGGTATATTTCTTGAAACAGAAGTCAGAAGTTTTTGAAGTATTCAAGAAGTTCAAAGCAGCAGTGGAGAGAGAAAACGGTAGAAAGATCAAAGCCATGAGATCCGATCGAGGTGGAGAATTTACTTCCAGGGAGTTTCAAGAGTTCTGTGAAGCAAATGGAATTCGTCGACCAATGACAGTTCCTAGATCCCCCAGCAAAATGGTGTGGCAGAAAGAAAGAATAGAACAATCCTCGACATGGCACGAAGCATGCTCAAAAGCAAGAAACTACCCAAAGAATTTTGGGCAGAAGCAGTATCGTGTGCAGTCTACTTGTCAAATCGATCTCCAACAAGAAGTGTATGGGGAAAGACACCGCAAGAGGCATGGAGTGGAAGAAAGCCTGGCATTTCCCACTTGAGAACCTTTGGAAGTATAGCCCATGTTCACATACCAGACGAGAGAAGAAGCTTGATGATAAAAGCGAGAGTTTTATCTTCATCGGCTATGATGCTAATTCGAAGGGCTACAAGTTGTACAATCCAGACAATAAGAAGTTTGTGATTAGTCGAGATGTGGTCTTCAACGAAGAAGGAGAATGGGATTTTAACTCCCATACAGATGACTTCAATTTCTTTCCTCAGTTTGAAGAAGATGAGCAGACAATGAGGGAGCAACTAGATGAATCTCAACAAGAGCTTGCAACTCCACCACTTCACCAACATCAACCACTCAAGGAGACTCATCACCTTCATCATCGTCAAGTGGGAGTCAAAGTGAAAGAGTTGTGCAACGCACAAGAAGCCTTAGAGATCTCTATGAGGTAACTGAACGACAAGATAATCTTACATTATTTTGTCTGTTTGCCGATTGTGAACCAGTGAGCTTTCAAGAAGCGGTACAAGAAAAGAAATGGAGAGATGCGATGGACGAAGAAATCAAGGCCATCGAGAAGAATGACACATGGGAACTTACCTCACTTCCCAAGGGACATAAGGCGATAGGTGTCAAATGGGTGTACAAAACAAAGCAAAACGCCAAAGGAGAGATTGAAAGGCACAAGGCGAGGCTAGTTGCTAAAGGCTATAGTCAAAAGGCTGGAATTGACTATGATGAGGTATTTGCTCCTGTTGCTCGATTGGAGACTATCAGACTAATCATTTCTTTGGCAGCTCAAAACAAGTGGAAGATACAACAGATGGATGTAAAGTCCGCCTTCCTAAATGGATTTCTTGAAGAGGAACTTTACATTCAGCAACCATCAGGCTATGAAGTCAAAGGGCATGAAGACAAGGTGTTGAAGTTAAAGAAGGCTCTTTACGGGCTAAAACAAGCACCAAGGGCATGGAATAGCCGAATCGACAAGTACTTCCAAGAGAATGGCTTCAACAAATGTCCCTACGAGCATGCTCTATATATCAAGATCAAAGATGAAGATATTTTGATCGTGTGCCTCTACGTGGACGATTTGATCTTCACTGGAAGCAACCCAAGCATGTTTAATGAATTCAAGGATGTGATGATGAAAGAATTCGAGATGACAGACATGGGGCTCATGGCGTACTACCTTGGCATTGAAGTTAAGCAACAAAATGATGGAATTTTCATTTCACAGGAAAGCTATGCAAAGGAGATACTGAAGAAGTTCAAGATGGAGAACTGTAAGCCAATAAGCACACCGGCAGAATACGGGATCAAGATGACCAAACATGAAGAAGGCGAAAGTGTAGATCCAACATTCTTCAAAAGTTTGGTAGGAAGTCTACGCTATCTAACTTGCACGAGACCCGATATTCTTCACGCAGTTGGATTGGTTAGTCGCTACATGGAATCCCCAACAACCACCCATTTTAAAGCCGCAAAGAGAATTCTTCGCTATCTGAAAGGTACAATTGACTTTGGCTTGTTCTATTCAGTTTCTAATGATTACAAGCTTGTTGGATATAGCGACAGTGAT